TGGGGAGATAACCAATCCATACCCAAAATCAAATCAAAATCCACCATATCAAGCAAAATAAGAGCAACCCTAGTATCTCGCCTCTGAATAGTCACCACACAGGATCTAAATACCTGATCCACTACTAAAGAATCACCTACTGGGGTTGAAACACGCAACGGCTCAACCAATAGCTCTGGGATCATACTCAATCGAGGAGCACAATAAACAGATATATAGGAATAAGTAGAGCCTGGATCAAATAAGGCGGATGCGGGCTGATGGCATAATAACACTGTACCTGTGATCACATCGTCCGAGGTCTCAGCATCTGCTCTAGCTGGAGCTGCATAAAAGTGGGTCTGGACTCCCCTACCCTGTGCATCGGCTCTGCCCCCTAATCTGCCTCCTCGGGGACCACCCGTATACCCTGGTGACCACCTCTACGGTCCTGTCCCTGGCCTCTGCCTCTAGCTGGAGGTGCTGGCGCATGCCTAGCTGCCTGTGGAGCGGGTAAGGCTAACCTGCGATGGGGACACTCGCGGACCCAATGATCTAACTCCCCACACTCATAACACCCCTGGGACTGTCGACTGAGAGCTGGAGGTCGGCTACCCCGGCCAGAAGAACCCATCTGTGAACTATCTCGGCCTCGACTAGGACCGGCAGTAAAACCAATATGGTGGTGCTGATCACCCTCTGATGCCTGGAGAGAAGCCTGGAAGGGCTACTAGACTGACCCGACTGAAACCTCTGCTGAGATCTATCATAAGACTCTCGGGGTCTGAAACGGCGCCTATCATAGCTATCCTCCTGTCTAGCTCTCTTGCCGCTGCCCCCTTGGGCCTCGCGACGGAGCTGCTCGATAGTGCGGGCATGGTCCACTACATCCAGAAATGAGCGGCCCGCTGAGACTAAAGATTGAGTCTCAATCCGCAACTGTAGTCTCAAACCCCGAACAAAACAACGAACCCTCTCCTCCTTAGTAGGTAATATCATGGCGGCATGCCTGGAGAGCTCGTGGAATCGGGCCTCATACTCTGATACTGTCATGGAGCCTTGCTCTAACCGAGCAAACTGATCTCTGAGCTGATCTTTGATGCTCCTGGGAATAAATCGGGCCAAGAAGGCCTCTGAAAACTCAGTCCATGTGACCGGTGGAGACCCAGCTGGCCTGGTCTCTAAGTATGTACGCCACCACTGCCTGGCGGGACCGTCTAACTGGTAAGCGGTGAACTCTGCTCCTCTCGACTCCACTAAACCCAAAGTCTGTAGCCGCTCGCGGCAAGTAACTAGAAACTCGTGGGCATCCTCCCCCACTGCCCCAGAAAACCTCGGCGGTGATAGTCTAAGGAACACCCCGAGCATCTTCTGCTCCCGCAGTGGCATGACGCCCTCCAAATCGTCAAGCTGAACAACCGGTGCCGCTAGCTGCTGAACAACTGGTACCGTTGGTGTAGGTTGGCCCTGCGGTACTGGAACGGCTGGAGCTGGGGCCTGCTGCATACCCCCAATGGCAGCTAGTATCTGTACGAGCATCGCCTGTATATCTGGAGCTGCCACAGGCTCGGGCGGTGGCTGGGCTGGTCCAGGGCCCATCGGCTGCTGCTGTGCTGGAGCTGCTGGTGGCTCTATCACCGGCTCCGGAGTTTGCTCTCGGTCCTGGGCTGGTGCTGTAACTCTGGCACGATCTCGAGGTCGACCTCTACCCCTAGCTGGGCCCTACCACGCGTGCGATCCATCCCTATAAAAGAGTGGTACAAGTAAGATTTTCAGAAACCGATAAGACACACAATGCACGACAGTGATACAAAAGCGACACGTTCCTAAAGACATCCTGTAGCCTCCCGAAGATAAGTAACGGACGTCTCCGTACCGATCTGCAGGACTCTACCAGACATTAGCTCTGTACAAGTGAGACCGACGAACCTGGGGCTCTGATACCAATTTGTCACGACCCGATTTCTCAAGTCATGATGGCACCTACTATAAACCACCAGCAGGTAAGCCAACCCGTAACCCGGAACAACAAGTAATGGGTCTAAGGGTAGAAATTAAACAAGAGTAGGAAAATAACAATATAAACAGGCGAAAGCAACCCAAAACATATATACAAATAAAGATCCCTCCCAGAACCTGGAAGTCACCAGTACAGAGCTACTACAAAATGAGTACAAGTCCCAAAACTGGACAACAGAGACTGGACTGTCTCAAAAGGAAGAAGACAAGTCTATATATACAGATGGAGACTGAAATAGTACAAAACGCCGTGTGCTCACCCCCGTCTCCAGATAAGTCTACTCCAAGCTCGATCAACGCTGGCTACTAGTGCTCGGACCTGCATCACAAAATAGATGCAGAGCGTAGCATGAGTACCAAAACAACAGGTACCCAGTAGGCATCATAGGCCGACTAAGCAAGATAAGCAAAAGTGAACTGAAATGCAAATAAAGGGTCACATCAAGTGCAAAGAGTAGTAAATGGGGGGTATGTACACGAGCGTATAGGCAACAAAGACAAGTAATCTAACTAACTCCGCCAGGCTCCCATAAACCCGACGGGTACGCTCGTGCACAATAAAAGAAACCACCTGCACGGACCCCCATAAGCCCGACAGATGCACCGGCAGTTGAAGTAAAATAATGGAGCTAGAAGGTCTATCACAATATTACCAATTTCTGGACTTTTAACTGAACCATTCCCAATCATATTCCAGGATCTCATTACGTCCCGGACTTTAATCGGAATCTCTCCAACCTCCAAAACCTCAACCTACAGATGAGAGTAATCAAGACTAAACTGAAGCTTTAGTGAGGAATTGGGAATACACCACGTGCAAGCTGGACCACGGACTCGAACCGGGTACTATAGCTAATGAGTCAACCTATATGGGCTGGACCACGGACTCGAACCGGGTGCTGTAGCCAAAGGTCGGGCACGGGTGGGCTGGACCACAGACTCTAACCGGGTACTGTAGCTAACAGAAAAGCAGGGCATTATGGATACAAGGTCATAAGCTGAGTTACCGACTATCAGACTCAAGTCTGCTATATCAGTCTACAAGGAGCTGACCGTCCGAAACGACGTCGGAAAAAGCTCTACTACCCAACGACATCCGAAATCTCGCAAGTCTATGGCAACACTAGTCTAAGCCTAGACTAAGGCCAAACATACTTCAAATCAATATTATCATATACACCACAAAATATGGATATTCAATAATATCAAGAGACATGCTGTCATAATCCAACACTTTCCCGAAATAAGGTCTAAGGCAGGAATTATAGAAATTTAGCATGCTCGACACCCGAACCCCTCCATACTCAAGCAAATCAATAAACAATTGCCTAAACATGCTCAATCTCACGAGAGAAAGCCATAGCCTACCTGAAAGCCGACCACGCGTGCTCCAACTCACGGTACCGGATCCTTTCCCCTCCAAACGGTCTCCAAATGCTTCCCCACTAACAAAAGGTTAATCACCTCGTCATTACGAATATATTGACACTAAAATTATATTTTTCGGAGATGGACCAAAAATCGGGTCTAAAACGGGATTGTGGGGCCCACAATTGGAATCTCAAAAACGAATCCGTGAAAACGTCCCAAATACCTTACTAAACTAATACCCCAAAATTTAGCACAAACAGATGCTTAAAACACCGCAAATCAGCCACAACAATTAAAAGTAGCAGCCCCTAGATCACCAATTTTCGGAAAAAACGAGACCCTTCCAACCCAAACAGATTATACCACGACGATCCTTGCAAAAAAATCTACAAGTTAGCCTCCAGAATGACTCAAAACGGACCTAAGATGATCAAGATCTCACATTTCAAAATTCAACAACAATTCAATCCGGAAATCACCCTAGCAGTGGCTAAAATCGATTTCTTACCTCAAACGAAGCCTCCCCTTGCGTTTCTGAGATCACTGCTAGATTTCCCTCGAAATTCTCTTGAAGTTTGCCTTTTGAAGCACCTAATTTGGACTCAAAATGAAGGAGAAATCTTAAGTTGAAGTTGAAGGAAAAAAATGGACGAAATTCGTCCTAAATTCTGGAAATTTCCAGATTTCCACTCCTCTGCCACGTGGCGTCGCGTGGCTCTGCCACGTCACCGCCGCGTCAAAATTCTACAACCCTTCAAACTTAAATTTTGATGTTTCGGACTCGTTCGGAGTCGGAAAAATACAAACCTTATATGGAATCTGATTGGAAACGATATTTCGGACTCAACGGTGAAGGAGGAATTTCCATTTGGAGATCGTTTCGATGAAAAGTGGGTCCCACACCCAGTATCGTTTGAGCCAGATTCCACAACTGCCATCTAAAGCCTCGGAAAGTGAACAAAGGGTCGACCTAGACCAAAATCGATCTTCCGAAGCTAACCTAGCTGTCAGAATTTTCATCTGAGCACGACTTCCAAGAAGGTTGACCAAAGTCAACTTTTCAAGTTATAAAAATCTCCAAAACAGGGAAACGGGCCTAAAACCCAAACGAACGACCAGGCGACCGAACAGTCAATGCCAGCAAGTCATAAATGACTTGGGGTCGCTACAGGAATGCTCTATACGAGGGAAAGAATTCTTTAATTTAAAAATGATATGGAGGGTCATTACAAAAAATTCCCAAGCATGGACTCATTCAGCCTGGTGCCTTAGCAAAGGGACTAGGTCAAAGTTTGAAAGTTATGAGCACTACAAGAGTTAATGCTGAACAAAGGACTTCGATTTCCAAAAATAGAAGTCACAATGCCACAACTTCTAAGTTGAATAAGCTAGAAGACAATAGTTTCCATGTGCATCCTTGTTTTGATGAAAAGGAAGACAATGCTCCCTTCCATCAAGGAACTGAAATGAATCAATACACTTTGACTAGTGGTGCAACGGCTCGAGGACAAACCTTAGGGATTAATGTTGAAAAATCGACTCTGATTGACAAAAATAGAAGTAATACAACAACTTCTAGTTGAAATAAGTCAGCAAAGACTAGTATCCCTGTGCCTCCTAATTTTTATCCAATGGAAGACGATGACACCCTCTTTCAAGAATCAAAAGTTACTCGAGATGCTCAAAGAAGTGATAATTTGAAAAAGAGTTAGTCTAGTTAATATATTTGATCAAGAAATTTTGCTTAGCTTTCTTTACTTAATCTTTTTTGTATTCTTTCTGTTATTAATAATGGGCATGAACTTCTTATTTTGGTTGACTTTCATCAAAATTTGCAGGTGCATTTGAATTTGATAAGTCAAAAAAAGTAATTGGAGTGCCTCGATCTGCTCAAAAAAGTGATACTAGTATGTTATTTTATTTGTGCAACTTTTTTTTGTTAGTTGAATTGAATTGTTAGTTTTTATAACTTGCACTTAAATTTGCAGGTCCGTTTGAATCTAGAAAAGCAAAAAAAGTGTTTGAAGTGGCTCAAGGTGCTAAGGAAACTGAAACTAGTATGTATTTTCTTTTATGTAATATTTTCATGTTGTTTCTTGTAAAGCAGTCAAAATATTATCTTGCCTTGCTTCCATCTGCAATAGATATGTTAGCATATGATAGTTCCATAAGCAGTGTTCCTGCAATAAACATATTGTAAGCTTAACTTTTTTACACATTGGATGAAATCTGAAGTTTGGTAAGCCCCTCATAATCTTCAAGACCATAGTTAAAGACTCCATAACCAATATAAATAGCAGGGGAGACATGGGGTCCCCTTGTCGTATTCCTCATTTTTCCTCGAATAACCATTTTCTACCCCATTCACCATAACAGAATACATGAGAGGTGTTACATATCATAATCAACTTCACAAAGCCATCTGGAAACCCATAACCAAGTAAAGCTTCCTCGAAAAATTCTAACTCAGCATGTCATATGCTTTTTGGAGATCAATCTTCATCAAACATCTGAGACTAGTTTTCCTATTGTAATGCCTTCATAAGTCATGATATATTAAGACATTGTGGACCATAGATCTCCCTTGAACAAAAGTTGATTGATTCTCTGCTACCAAGTAACTTACACATAATTTAGTTTTTGACAAATCAGTTTGACTTTATATATCACAATACAACACGAGATAGGTTTGCACTGACTAGCATTTTCAGGAACAAGGACATTCGAGATAAGGGCAATATTAATAACATTTATCCGTCTTAGTAACTGACCATTCCGAAAGAAATCCAACAGTTCTTTAGCAACATCTTTCCTATGATATCCCAAGCTTCTCTGTAGAAATCACTACCATAGCCATCAGGACTAGGACTGCTTTTCATATCAATACTACACAACACTTTCCTAACATCCTTTGCATTAAGAAGTTTCAATATTTCCAGTTTTTTTTCAATAGCTTGCTTCAATTGTCTCTGTTTAATAACTGAGTAAAAATACCTTGTGTTTGTATCTCCAAGCCTGATCCAGTTTGCCTGACTTCTCTGTAGTAGGAACATCTCTGCTAAGTTAGAAGCTTGTTTGAATTATACCAGTTTTTTGTTGCGACTATTGTCAGCATTATTATCCTGAGTGTTATTCAATTTATTCTTCTTTTCATTGACTACTACTTCTTTGTGATTCTATGTTGTGCATTTTTCCTTTGAGATTATGTCACTATTGTTATGGGCTATTTCACCTACACCACTGCTTTTATTTGCTTTATTTAATTTCCTTTGTATCCTTCTTGTTAGTAATGGGAATGAACTTCTTATTTCAATTGACTTGCATCAAAATTTACAGGTCTGTTTGAATTTGACAAGGCTAAAAAAGTGATTGAAGTGTCTCGGCAAGATCAAAGAAGTGATACTACTATTTTATTTTATTTGTGTAACCTTTTTTAGTAAGCTGAATTGATTTCTTGGGCATTTTGACTTACAGTTAGTTTTGCAGGTTTGTTTGAATCTAGAAAAGCAAAAAAAGTGGTTGAAGTGGTACAAGATGCTGAGGGAATTGAAACTAGTATGTATTGTCTTCTACGTATTTTCTAATAGTTTCTGCATTGTTACCTATAAAGCAGCTAAAACATTATCTTGCCTCGCTTCCATAGGCCTTAGAATCTAAGAGTAACAAGACTTCACTGTGAAAAGACCAAATTGTTTCCCCTTCCATTTCAAGCTATCCTCACTGTTAATAAGATCTTTAAAAGAAGTTAGGAGACCAACAAATTCTATAGAACTCTCCTTATCCCAGTCATTTAGATTCAAGTATGTTCCAGTTGTCTCATTCTTCACTTTGTGCTACAGTGGGATTGAACTTCTTGTTTGGTTTTCCTTACTATAGATTTTGCAGGTCCATGTGAAACAGAAAGGGCAAAGAATGTGAGGGGAACAAATATTTGTAAGAATGTTTTGCGATTGAGACCTGGAGAAAAATTGAAAGTCACTTTCTATCAAAATCGAGTCGTCGGGCAGAATCACACCTCATTTACGAGACACTTGGGCTTGATAGTTCGTGATCGTAATATGTGTCCACTCCGGGTACACTCATGGATGGACATTGAAGAGCATAAGCTTGAGCACATGTGGGCAGCTGTTACTGTAAGGATTACAACACATCTATCTCTTCTTTTTACTAATAACTGTCAAGAATCCCTTTTCAAAAAGTATTGGATGTTTTAGTTTGAAACATGACTCTTGATTTCACATTCCTTCTCCTTTAATAACAAAGTATAGTTACTCAGTTTCAATGGATAGATAAAAATTCTCACATTTCATCTTTTCTCGTTAGCCTATTTGATAGTTAAATCTCTTGCCACTACCTGCTAATAAGAGGCTTTTGAAAAGTTAACTTTATTCTTCCACTGTAATTCCTTTGGATGTTAATATTATTAGTTTAGTGTGGCTATAGTTAATATGATTCTGCAGTTGGTAAAAACTATCAATTATTGTTTTACAATTTTATGTTATAATTTCAATGTGTAACCTTCATCTTAACAAAATTTGGACATTTCTCAGTCATAGCAGTGTATTGATATATACTTTGTTAAGTATTGAGCTGACACTAACTGTTACTTGAGGACCTAAATGTTTGATGGAGGATACACCTATTCATCGAAAGCCTCTACTAAGTATATACATTTCTTGGCCTTCTTGGCGGTTTTCACTATTGATAATCTTTCTTTGGTAATAAATTGTATATGTTGTACTTCTGTCTTTAATGAATCTTTAATTTTTGTTATGTAATATGGAGTAAATCACTATTCCATAACTGCCCTGCCACAATCTACTTCTTGATCTTGGTCCAGTGTCATTGGTTGATCCATTATAGACTTTCCTTGACTTTGCCTGAGCTACTAATACCCGGCCACCTGTAACTTTCCTCCACAACTCTTTTTACCATTGACATGACATAAATAGATGAGTGGGGTCTTTTAAATAAGGTTGATCAACACAAATCTTATTCTTTCTCACTGTATCTCCATAAATCTCTGTTTGCTAGTTGAATACACATTGGATATACACTTCTAGATCATAATATAGCATGAAGTAGGTCTATATTGACTAACATTGGCCAATGTTGAGACCTTAGGGGTAGTTAAAATTATGGTAGCATTTACTTATTTCAACAGCATCCCTATTCTGAAAATGTCATGTACAACATGAAAAGTATCTCCATCCACTACAATACATGAAGCATCTTAAAGAATAAACAACCAAAACCATCAGACTGTTGAGCCATTGTTAAAGGTTGTCACTTACAAAGTCCTCGGGTTTTTTCACTCTTTCACCCATTAGCCACTTCCTTTTTATTTATGCTACTGTTGTGGCTTACTTTCTTTTCAAGCAGAAGAAATATTATGTTACTATTGAATCACATAACATAGAGACTAGAGATAACTAACAAAAACTTCATCTATTATCTCTCCTGATCATGATGTATTTGTCATTGCCCAACCTTGATTAATAAACGTGTACAGTCATTACCTGGTCAAATCCATGTGGCTTTACTTCTCTATAATATAATTGAACTAGCTAAGCTTAGTGATCTCCTAAAATTTATGCTAAGTTCAATTTCTTCTCCAGCAAGATCGGATTGCTAGGATTCTATTATAGTAGTTTCTGTTCCTTCACGTCATGCTTCAGGCCACTCGCTTGTGTCGCTACTTTACTCTTAACGCTATTTCAAACACTATACAATAGTGATGTGAGTAAGCTATAGGTTTTAAACAAACAACTTGTGGTTGTTATTTATTTGAAATTTTGATTTATGTTCCTAAAATTTCTAGGTTACTACCTATTAGGTGATCTCTACTTTGATGCCTTGTTTTCCCTTATTCAAGAGATTTTGATGGTATTTTTTCTATTTTAGGAGAAGTTTGGCATTGATGACATGAATGATCAAAGAGATAATGTTTTGCAACATATGAGAAAGCTTTGGAATAACTGGAGAGGATCATTGCACAAGAATGTGAAATCTAAATCATTGCACGAGGTTCTTAAAGATGTGCCAATGGGAGTAGACAAGAGTGATTGGGAATGGTTGGTCAAGGAACATTTTTTATCTCAGAAATTTAAGGTAAGACTTCATATAATTAACAAATATCATTTTATTTCTAGTCACATATGATTAGTTTTTTGGAATAATTTATACCATGTACAAATTGAGTCTTGATTTCGATAAAAAAATTTGATGTCTTCTATCCACAAGATCTACCAAAGAAAATTGCAATGGTGTTTTTTTGTGCTTCTGTTCTCTTTTACCCTCTTCCCACTGAGCTTAAAAGTACACATTAAATATAGAATCATTAAACAAGATTGTGATAATTTCAGTTGTTGTGTTGTTAATGCAGGACGCAAGTACAAGAAACTCAGTCAATAGGTCTAAGTTGTGTATGCCTCATCGTACAGGTAGCAGGCCTATTAGAGAGATTGTTTACGAAATGGTAAATAAATTGTGCAACCCTATAAAGAAACCTCTCCTATTTCTATATAATATCTTATTTTTTAATCGTGAAGGGAGGCAAAGATGGTAATCCACCAAACATGGCAACTATTTTCTTTGAGACACGTAAGAAGGGAAATGAGCTTGTCGAACCTGAAACCGTTGAAAAATATGTATGTTTATATCAATTTTAATTTCATTTAACATCCTTACTCTTACTTAGTGCATTGCATTATTTTAAATATTCTTATGTTTTATAGGCTGAAATTCACGAGCTTGTACAATCTTAACCATCTCTTACTAATATTGAGGTAGTGGAAAGGTGCTTTGGACCTCAATGCAAAAGTCACGTAGTTGGATTTGGTGGTGAAATAACAACTAAGGAGTTAAAAGGCGGTACCACCTCAAAGGCTGCACTGTGGGAAGAGCTGAAAACAACTCGGAAAGAAAAGGAATCACTACAAAAACGCATGGATATTCTAGAGAGTAAATATGAACACCTTGAAAATATAGTGAACTGTCAGTCTTCATCAGTTCCATCAATTCCATCGGGTTAGTAAACATACTATTAGTTATTATTACATGATGTGTATTGTGTGTGAATGAAGTGATGTTGTTTCTCGTTGATAAGGGCTTTGTTATTGCAGTTGTGCTATGAGTTACCTGTTTTCCTTTAGTGCATTGCGTTATCTTAAATATTCTGTATATTCTGGCATTCTCACTCTAGCATTTCTATATATAACTAAAATCAATATCACTTTAGTTATAATATCCACAAAGCTAAAATATTGATTTTATGTTCATTTCTGTATATACCAATGAGATTGTTATAACATCTTCAAATGTAAAAGTAGGTATCAATATGGTTATTGTTCTGTATATATGTTGTTGGTAGAAAATCAAGATCTCTCCTCTGATTAGGTCCTTGTATGACTTTGTCCTCTATAATATCATTGTCAATATAATTTGCCCTTTATTATTGTAGTATTAGTAGTTAATCTCAAACATCACACACTTCTACATTACCCTTTCTCTATTGCCCTGCAACTTTAAATATATTTGATCATGTTTGTGTCATTCTCCACTGTGGTAATTAGTTGTTTAAGTTTTTCTAACTTCCTACTTGTCATCCAGCTGCAAGCTTGTTTCATCTGATCCACTTGCATTTTCCATTTCAACAACTTATCTACGTTTTCTTTCCTTCAACTTTCAGTACTAGGACTAGGACTAGGATTTCTGGTCTTCTTTATTTGATGTTAGTATATTTACATTCTCTTTGTTGAAGCACTTTAATGTGTGTTATGTTCATGTCTGTCCACTTTAATCTCTCTCTTTCCTTCCATTAATCTGGAAAGAGGCCCAGGTTTTGTGAAAGAGGTGGGGGTATGAGGAAGCATTCACTTGAATAAATATTTAAATGAGGAAGCACCAACCACCCTCTGTATGAGATGTTAATGTGAAAGTAATACAACTCTTGCTGGCAGCCAGTGGAGATCCTCAATGTAGAAGGTTGGGTAGAGAAATTATCTAGAATTCATGAACTAGAATTGTAAATACGTTTCTAGTTGTATACATCAGAAAATAGATCACGAACTATTCAAGAGAATTAATCCTTAAGTTCAAACTTTTTTCCATTACTAATTAATTTACTTCAAATTGTTGTTTTGACAGATGAAGATGTTGAAGATTAAAGAACAAGATCATGTGAAAGATAATGTGGAGCGTGCAACAAAGAATATTATATTTTTATTGTTGGTGCAAAGACGTTTTCTATAGTTATTCTTAATGTCATTTTCTTAATTTCTAGGATTTTATAGATGTCGAACACATGTTTTATTATGTTGAACGTGTATGCTTTTTTTTTCAGATATTGTGTCGAACATATAAGGTTTTAGTAATTAAATCAATGTGTTCTTTAATTTATTATTAACAATATAATTTTATATCAAATTTTCAATTGGATGTGAAAAGAATTTATATGAACTGATCATATTAGTTCTTTTTAGAAATGATGGAAAAGATAACAACTACAAATTAAATGTAATAATTTAAATCGAAATTTGTGATAGGAAATTTGATTTTTAAAAGGTATTGTAATCAACGACAGGAATTCTGGCCGCTAAAATTAGTTATAACGCCCCTAATTTGTTGTTTTACTTGAAGGTTCTAACGACTAAATGACCATCAATGAAGGGGAATTTGGTCGTTGTAAGCACGTGTAACGACCGAATTAATTGGTGTCGTTAAATAATATTTAACGACCGGACATGCAATCCAGTCGTTAACCTTTAACGACGGAGCTTTTAACGACCGGTGACAACCAATATTTGACCGGTCGTTATAGACCTTTAACGATCGGATTTGGACTTATAGCGACGGTATTTCCTTTTGCTAAAGGTCATTTTTCTTGTAGTGATATTAAGCAGTCCTTGCTTGGAACATAAGTAATCATGCTGAGGTTTTTATAATTCTTTAATCAGTTGA